CTCTACTCCTCATTCTAACTACGAGAATTAGCCCAGAAGTCGTAGACTTGTGCGGGAGAGGAGGCGGCATATTATTATTAAGCAGGCCGCATTTGCGCCCAGGAACGACTTAAGTTGGTAGGCCCTAACCAAAATTTAATGCAGGAATGAGGGAAACCTGGAAAACCTCATTAATTAGGGGTGTGGTCAAATGCCAACCGCTGTCAATCTTTCACATTGACCCAAGCCAACTTTCTTCCACCCTACCATACCTGCACAGAGGGTGCCAATCCTCCGTACAAGCATAGCTAATCTACAGTCTACCGGCCGCAGGATTCGATCCCGTGCAGATAATATACATCGATTTAAGTACTGACGCCTTAAACTGTGCGGCTATCGACTGAATATAATTGATGATAATTGATGCCTTAAAAAAAAGGTCTCAGGATATCTGGGAAACAAATTGTTTTCAAAGAAATCGGTGTAAAAAAATGACATAATCAGCAAATATATACTTAAAAAGGTAAAGGTCATGAAGCTTACCAGCAATTAGGCCATGCTTGGTCCTTTTTGCGTGCTAACTTCCACTACCCTCCACCTTAACAATCACAAACATCCATGGTACGACAGGAAAATTCGAAAGAATTTTCCTGCCGCGTGCGGGATTCGAACCCACTACGATTTTGCCGCACAGCCCTGGCTCGCCTCTGTAGGCAAGCCTTGGCCGCTTCGGCTACCGCCGCGCCCCAGGAAATATCTACTTAATAACAGACCTGGGGAAAATAATTGATGCCTATAAAAACAAATCAAGAGCAGGAAAATCGGGACTGAGCCTGTTCCGCGCGGGATATTTAATTTTGGGTTAAAAATCGGGACGTCCCGTCAAAATCGGGACGTCTGGCAACGCTGATAAGTAGGTACTTATACGCCTAGCCATATAAATGACATTTAATATTATTGAGTAGCGTCACATAAGTTGTCGCTTATATGACGTTTGGAGAAAAAATAATTATGGTACCAAATGGACCAAATAGTATTATTAATTTATGACTTCATTTAAAGTTTAAAACTCCCTATGCACCCATAATTATATATATCAAACCAATTTTTTAACATACAGTAGTATTTTTTGCTTGTCTATTTGACAGTTAGCTGTTACGTTCTATCCATAAAAGAACAAATTTATTGGAATGCGTATACCCTATTTGACATTGCAATAAACATCCTAGGGCTATTGTGCGTTTCCCTAAGATAAATTATACATATACTATTTGAATAGAATTGTAATGTGTTTTTTTATATGGGAAAAAAGTGCTGTTTTACACAATTTGTCTTATGAAAAATCATTCGGCAATAAGATAACAAATACAAAAAAAAACTTACACCTTATTTCTAAGAAATTGACTCCTATCCAACATGTTAAAAGTAAAACATAACCCGTCCTCTGTAAGAATAGGATAGAAAAGACTGCTGCAAGATTTATTCTGCAAAGTCCATCTACAGGAATGGAACACATCGTCAAATTGAGGCGCAACCTAAAAATATTTTAATAAAATCGAAAAGAGAGTAACGTCTTTTCAATCTAAAAAGTAGAAATTCAAAAGAAACTTACACTCATTAAGAAGTCAATCGTATCAAGACCAGTAGTTAGGCTGCCATTATTGTAGTAAAAGTGATTGTCACAAATTAGCGCACTATCTGAGAAATGTTTCCATCTAAAAAAAATAGTTTCAAATTTTCTAATTGCTATTTTCTTAATAATTAGCCTGGTTGGTCAGTGCGATGATTATCAACATATCGATAGTTGGCATTTCTTAGGCTTGTTTTAGATGGACGCTGACGGTTAATGCGTTCTAACACACGAGCAGAAATAATTCTAATGAAAAAATATTGACAGCTGTTGTTTTATCCGCGGCTTATACGACAATGTTCATCAATGTTCATCAGCCCTATTCAGCGTTTGTGTAAAATGTAATATCAGCGTACCGTCAGCGTGCTGACCATAGCGCCTGTGTGAAACGGCGTTTAGAAGTTGTTGGTGTGTTTATCTCTGCCAATTCGACTTTTTTACTATTAGACATATTTTTTTAACCAAGAGCATGTAGCCTGTTTCAGAAAAAATCAGTCACATAGCAATTACTGTAGGTCAACATATTAACAGCGCCCTGATCATTAGCACATCGACGATTCGACGATCGAAAGCTTCATCAGCGTTATCGATTTAACTTAATATGAATAGACCGTCAGCGCGCTGACCATCAACGCCTAGGTGAATCGGTGCGCAGAAGCTGTTGGCGTGTTCGTTTATGCCAGCTTGCCACTCGGCTATGCGAAATATGTTTTCTGAAACAATAAAATGTACCGTTTCATAAAATAGTTCTACTACACCAACGGCTTCTAAGCTACGTTTCACACAAGTGCTGATGGTCAGCGCACTAATCATCAGCACATCGATGATTGCCATTACTTAGACTCGTTTCAATGAACGCTGATGGTTCTGATAATAATCCGCGAGCAGGAACAATTTGCTATGAAATAATATTGACCGTTGTTGCCCTATCTCTGGATTATACGACAGTGCCCAGTTGGTCTAGACTGTAAAACACACATAACGTCAATGGATCATCAGCGTATGCGTGAATTGGAGCGATGCCTTGTTTAAAAAAAAACTGGGTCCTACAATAAAGTGATAGGTTAACACATCTACAAGTTCTGAGCTCAGTTTCACACAGGCGCTAATCGTCAGCGTGTTGATCAACAGCACATCAACGATTATTACTATCTGAGGCTTATACGACAATGCCCAATTTGCCTGGGCTTGTAGATGTAACAGTGCTCGAGAAACTTCAGCACTATCGAATCAACGCCTGTGTAAAACGAAATTTAAGAACTGTTGGCGTGTTGCTCTATGCCAGCTTGAACTTTTACTGTGCGACACATGCGACACTCTGAGACTATAGAATGGACTAACGTCAAGTTTCGAATGCTAGCATACTTACTCAAGATCAGTTAAGTTATGTTGCATCCTATATTTGTCGAATGCGTCAGTGAAATTGTACACCGTCTGTTTAGTTTTAGTTTGTGGACAGATGGTCACTGCTGGGAAGGGTATTTGCCAAACAGCGGTTGGACTTCTTACAAAACTTACTAATACTGGGGACGTGTCCCACTTTTCCCAGGTTTTTATTATCAAATTGATACATATACAGAGCGATATGCAGAACAGTATTAACCACCATAGTCTGAAATTATTAAAAAAATAATGTAGCTGGAATTTTTGTAATAACAGTTCATGTGATGTATGTATGTAATAAACTTTTTCCATACAAACTTCAAAATTATTAATAATCCAAGACTAACGGTAAGTCTATAAATTTTGAGGTTATTGAAATATTGTGTAAATATCTGATGGTATCCAATAAATGAAAATGTTAATGGTATTAAAGGAACCAGCTTCCTGTTTTAATTTAAAATAGTTTTATCCTACTTACTTTTCAAAAATGGATCTGTCTTGTTCTCCCATGTATTTGAATCCGTGGATGCTAGTATATTCAGTGCACTGCTGTATATAATCAAGCATATTTTTTCGAAATCCTGGATACTTCTGCTTCGTTTCAATGGCTCCATTTTCAATATCCTTTACCTTCGCCAATTCCACGTCTGTTAATTTATCTTCTTGGCTTATCGCTCTTTTCATTCTTAGCTGCTATAGGAATTTTCTACGAGATTTGGAAAAATAGAAGCAAAATAAAATCTTTTGTTAGAACAAACTTTTGCAAAAAATCCGGTTAATTTGGTAATATTGTTTGATTTGATAAATTTTATTTTGAAGGGTACTACTAACAGTACTAAGAAAATAATTGCGTTTATATCCACAATTAAATTAAATCGTAGTAAAGTAGTTTTCAGTATAAAATAATGTAGTTTAAAATATTGTATAAAAAGTATTTTATAATAAATACTTTTATAATAAATATTTTAAGTAAATAAAAATTAAATATATGTCTTATATTATAATAAAATGTTATGTTTTTATTAAATTTTATTTTATTTTATTTTTTAATTAAATTTTATTCTCAACTCACAAATTGTTTGAATTAATTGAATACTTACTTAATTGTCTTCAACACATTAAAATTATGTTTAATATTTAATTTTTTTTTTAATAACTATAATAGTTTAAATAAGTAAAAATAATTTGAAAAATATTATCATTTTTTTATTTAAGAAAAAAATACTCTGCTAAAACAAATTTATTTATCTTTGAAATGCTCAACTCTTATCTCCAGGAATCAGTTCATATAAACCAAACAAATAGAAAAAACTCAGAGACTAATTATATCTATATTCTCATATTCTAAAATACGGTTCAAATAATATTACACAAGTTTGATATTTTTCAATGCTATTCAAATCACCGTAAACAATAATTCCATATTGACATTATTAATTGACATCGAATAGTACTTTCTAAAGTGTTTTTATTTTATATCTAACCAACCTTACACAAATTTGTTTATCTATATTACAAAAACAATTTTTATTTATTTTTATTTTACATAAAGTGATTGTATTACTGGTGGTGGCAGATATTTTAAGTATTATTACTCTAAGGCTTGTAGAGTTCATGAGGCTCAGGGCAGTCTAATAATATGTGGGCTCTTATGGTTTAGAAGTTTAATTTATTAGATATATTCGTTATAATCGTTCCGACGGCGACGGTACGTTCCCCGCTCGCTGTTGCGTTCCCGTGCAGGCTCGTTACTTTGAGTCTCGGTTAAGCCTTGATTAACTAACCAGGCGATTAGACTGTGAATTTACTACGAGTGTTATAAAATAAATCCGTATATGTACAGTCTAATCATGTGATTACTTAATCAAGGCTTAATAGAGACTCAAAGTACCGGGCCTATTGTAAACGAAAACCAACACTTGACAGTTCCTGTCAAAGTTTTTTTTCACAAATCTGTCCGTGAATTGTCTTTATATTATTCATAAATGACTTGTTCTGTTTTAAACAAAAACTTGTTCAGGTAAGTCTTTACTTCCAAACTTTCCTATCTGTAATGTTTATTCTATTTTAGTTTAAATGTGCACAAATCTGTCAACTCTATCATTGAATTCTACACTGTATTATAATAAATGCTGCACCTTCTTTATAACCCTGGGTTTAATTCTTTACAAACTGTGGATATTGAGTATACTTCTATTCATGGACATATTTTTAAATCCAACTTATAGTAAACTTCTTCTAACGTCTCCTTCAAACAACAACTTGCAGACAATTTCTCAATTTCTTTCAATCCTGCTACCTTCCTTTAATTTACTTTGATACTAAATTCATCAATTTTTTACTTTTTTCACCTTCCTTTTTTTCAAGTAACTAATTTCTATCTCCCTCTTTCTTTTGTTTTTCTCCTGATCCTAGTTACCCTTTAAGGTTTGTGACGTCTATTGGTCACTATGACGCCTGAGCGACGGCGGTTACCTCGGGCGCCAGTTTCCGTTTATAGTGCAGAAACACCACTACGCGGGCGGCTACAGTGAAGACACGGTATGTCCAGAGGGTCTAGAGAGAGTTAGACTTCACACAGGAATAAAAGCCACACAATTGGAATATATTTACATTTATTCAGTCCAATTCTACCTATTTACACTATTCTACTCTATTACTAAACGGTTATGGATATATACAGGGTGACTACGGAAAACGCTAACGGCGGTGCGGTGTTAAGCGGTGACCTGACGAAAGCAAAGCACAGCAGAGCCAGCGGAACGGTAAAACAGGCAAACGGTTAATGCGGTAAGCGGTAGTGCAGATACCAGAAAGAAGGAAGCGATCTAGCAAAGCAAAGCTACAATCAATAACTATAGACTAGACTTGGCTACTATCTTTACACAAAAGCAATAAAACAGTAACAGCGGGGCTCCTCAATCCTGGCAGGCGGCTGGCAGAAAATCTCTGAAAGAAAGATGGATTAGTTACGACCTGCGTTTCAACTCATAGGACAGAAAGGGAGGAAAGGATGACAACATCCNCGACTGATTCCTTCGCTGGCAGGTAGAAGACTGGCGTACGATTATCATCGCGGTGTGAATTTGCCAGCTATCGGCTGCGCGGTGACGGACGGTGTTTGAAATGCCAAAAATGAATGACGGTGCGGTACATCATATTTATTCATAAAATAAAATAAAAAGAACACAAATGTGGGGTGTTGGAAAATCACTTTGTTACAATAGGAAACTAAAAGATTGACCATATTTAAAATTATAATTCATTTTATAGAATCACATTCTTCCTATCACAAACACGTATGAATTTATATAGAAAACTAAAAATTAGAACAGGTTTAAATATGTGTTTTATATAGAATTACATGTAGATTTTTACATTGCGTGTTACGGCTATATTACTGGAGTTAATGTTTGTCCCTAATAAAGCTGTTAATTGGTTTATTTTTTAGGTTGTCCCTATCGAATGAATGTTATGAATGAAAAAAGACAACCATATTACTCAAATAGAAATTTATTGATTATGAAATAAAATATTTTTTGTTAACTTATGCCTTATCCTAAGAATATTATCCTGCATTTTATTACAAAAGTGGTCAGAGCATACATAGGTATATATAGATATTGTTTCTGTATATGGAATTCCTAAGCTTCTAAACCACTGTCTTCTAATTAGAAGATTTTTCGGAAATCTATAACAAATAAAAAAATCGGTTAAATTTTTTACGCTTTTGTTTATCTGATTTACTAATGCCTTTTGGCACTTAAATTTTGTCAAAGCGAAATATTTAAATTTAACCCCAACAGCTTGTTTTATTGCTACGTCTATGATTACTGTTACTTATGGAACGATCGTTGATTTTCTGGTACATATTGCAAATATAGCATTTCTTCGGCATTGTTAAACACTTTTTTCACTGGAAAAAATCTTACTAACAAGCACGAAATCATTAAAAACGCAAAAACATTAGATTACACTACGAAACACAACAATGGTGTACTCAAGTTTTCTGGCAAATGTCAAAATGTGAGCATTGTGAGCGTAAACGTGGCGCGAACATGAATCATTGGAGATTCAAACAAATACCCTGAATTATTTATCTATGTCATTTCTTGATCTGTGATTTGAAATATGGAAGAATCATGTGAAGTAGATGTCATTTATTTTATATTTTGTACAAATGTTTATATTTGTGTACGTGTATAGGATTGCGTTTAGGTATACTTGCAGATATTTATTTTTTCAAGGTATCCTTTTGTATCTTTATTTCTACTGTAAAATTTATTATTATTAAAAGGTTAGATTTTCTTTATATTATTTTTCAGTAATGTTATTTGTTTTTCATGTACCTACCATTTCAAGATTTATAATCATAACAAACTTTTTTTAATTATCAGTTCGTCATTGTTACCACATTCATGGTCTGAACATTAGAAAATTTCCATTTCAGAGGCGTATTTGAACAATATAAAACGATGGGTAGCATTTTTAAAATACTTCTGATATTGTTTTGTGACATTTTTATTTGTATGATGAATTACAGAATTCGTAATCCATATTAAAAACTTTTTTCAGTGGCTTCTCAAAGAGAAAAAATCTTGGGAAAAGTTGCCGCATCCCCAAACTAGAAGAGCAGTTATTTTTTTTTAATATACAATAACAACATTTTTCAGTTTAATTTTTTAAGAAGTCAGAAAAAGTTGTCTGGAGTACGAACACAAGCGTACCTGATTGAAAATCAAACTTCTTTGTTTGACGATTAAAAGGATCTGTGAATTCTGTGATTTAAAAGCCCCGAGTTTCTGAATGTGTCAAGCTGCGTCATAGACCTTATAAACTAGTTTACAAGTCTATGAACTTATGGTAAATGTCTAACCATCGTCTGCTAAATCGCCAGCACGGGTGCTACGAGTTAGCAGACAATGGTCTAACAAGTAAACCGACAACTTTGTATAATCTAAGAATGTACGTTATTTAACAGCAGAACATATTATTTTAAATAATCTTACCTTTTATAGAACAGAAATAAATTTAGTCGATCGCCACAGTCACCAAAAGCCAAGCCAAGCTGAACATCAGACGAATAAATGAAATTATTTCTCTGATAGCTGAACCGCCAAACGCCAAACCAAACAAGTCATAGAGATGTCAAATGTCAAAAAACGCCATTTGCGTCTTGCATGTGAAAACTCAGGCACTTTTTTGCGAACACCGTTTTACAATTATTGAATACAATTTTTCGTGATAGACGCATCGACACCGTTGGTATCAACATATAAAACTTGAAAAAAATATCGTATTGGTGCTCTTAAAATTAAATTGCGAGCAGAAATAAAACAAAAACCAGCAATATAGATGTCGAAAATAACCATGATTATTTTTGCCATACGATTTACAACCAATAAGAACCCATAACTTGTAAAATTTTAATATTTATACATAGAGTAGTTGTATCAATCAGAACATACGTTCATTTGAATAATATAACAGGTTATCATTTTATAATTTTACCTCATTAATAGCACACACATAAGTACTATTATAAAATGCCATACCAGTTACACTTTATATATATTATATATATTTATATATATTATATATTATATTTATATATATTATATATCTCTCGTAAAAAAATAAACAACCAATAAAGGACAAAGTTACGTTGATCTTCGTTACAATGT